TTAACAATCAAAGGCCAGGGACAAGCCTCAATCAACAGAGCCTTCAATTTTACAAGGAAAATGGCTCGCAATCACTAGGTTTGTTTGTTATTGAAAAGATATTATGTCACATTTCTAGAGAATACATATTTACCTAACCTTTTATATTATAATGTGTTTCTCTTTAATGCTCTTTCCTCCCTTTTTAAAGTGCAAATAGGTATAACCGATTTAATCAATTATATTTTAGATGCACTAGTAGAGTAACTTATTGCAGTTGCACTTATGACGGAAACAGAGCAAATTGAGTAAGAGATTTGGAAGGAAATATTGACACAGCAATTTGATGAGTATTAGACAGAGAACGATATTTAAAGAATTGTAGTCCTATTATCAGATGGAAACTGTTTGAGATTTTATTATCACGTTATATCATTTCTTCAATAAAAATGAATGACTAATTATTAGACCAGGTAAACAAAAGTATTCATCACGACAAAATGCAAACTGCAAAATGCATGGGAAAAAAAAGAAGAGATGAAAGTCTTCGTTAAATGTACTGGAAACATTTGTAATGTAAAAAAGTTGAGGGAATGCTTAAAATGCCACAGTATTATGAAATCCTAATGCAGCAAGTTAAGATCGCGTGTTGATGGAAAAACCTACAATGATTTTTCATGCTCCAGTTTTGCAAAGAGCAGTGACAAATCGAACAAATAGCTTATTTAACGCAGATATAGAGAAAAATAAAAAATTTATGAATATTAAATTAATGTATAACTTAAACATTCTTCTAAAATGCTATGCTTCATTTATAATGTCATGTTATAATAAACATTCTAGTTGAGTTATTTGACGTATATGTTTGCACCTCAAAAACCTCCTTACTATTAAGTTTAACTTGAACCAATAATATCAAACATAATACTTATTATTGATTTAACCGTTTGATTATTATTGAAAAGTACAATCAAGAGTTTATAAAAAAGTCAACATTGCTGACTGACAAAACTAACATTTGCATTTTTAAAAGTATTTTTACTGAAAAGATTAGTATAAAAAAAAAGATAAAATTTTTGAAAATACTCAAAAAAGTTTGTTATTTTTTTTCAAATAGTTTATATATTTTCAAATAAGTTTTTTTTTTTTTTTTTTTTTTTTTTTTTATCACAGAGCACCGCGAAAGAGCATTTAATAGGAAGTTCACGCCTCCTTCCCAACCGATGTCGCAAGACTTGCCCAGAGGTGGGGTTTGAACCACGGATCTGTTGTACAAAGTTGTAGCCAGGCCGTGTGGTTTTTAAAAGTGCTTTAGTTTTTGCGGTACATATACTTGTAAGTAAACTAACCAAACAGATTAATAGATTAAGAATCCCGCAAAAAAATTAAGCTAAATAACATTTTTCAATAGCCTCGATTCCCCAAACAACGGGCAAAAAGTTTATTAAGATATCACTTCCAAAAAGATTTAATTACATTACGTTATTTTTGAATACTTTAAATTTACTTTTATTATCAATTATTCCTTTGAATTCGTTTAAAAAATAAATAAACTTTTTAGCACTAGATAAGACACTTTTTTTTGTTAAGTACCCTAACAAATAAAACTACCTTGTTTTTTGTAAAACTCCGTATCGATAAAAGATCTCAGTTTACCAATATGATCTGTGACAGCGCCGTAATGTTCTGCAGTATACTTGCGATGCCAATAATAAACTTGATTTAGAGTAGGAATTTCTCTAGCGTCTGCTGCTTTTTGCTTACTAGCTTGACCATATTTAATAGTAAGTTTTTTTTCGATGAATACGTCGCGCTTCGCCTGGTGTCATATCTTCGAGAATATTCGTTAAAAGTTGCCTAAAATGTTAAAAACTCGAATTTACTTATTACTGGTTTCAAACGTTTCATAGTTATTTATAGTTAACTATTTGTCTCTATTACATGTTTTTTAAACAACATTTTTACTAACAGTTTCAATAACGTAAAGGTTTAACTTTCGAAATGCTCCAAATTTAAGAAATTTCAGACTGCTGCTTAAAAAGTGTTGTATATATATGTTATATTCATATATAAGTGTTTCATATATAATATATAGCGTAAAAAGTTTACCTGTAATATACTGTCGCTTTGAAGAAAACTTTGTGCATCAGCAGAATTGATGTTGTGATTATGCGTATTAAAAATTTTGACCACACACGCAAGGTTCTTTTCTACATAAAAAGTTGTCATTTTTCTTAGTTGCGCAGTTCACCTTTTTAACTTTAACATCAACTTTTAATGGACAGTTAGTGTTACGGTAACTTTTTTTCTTTTGATTTGATTTTATTATTATGTTGACATAATCTTATGAAACTCAAATCTAATTAAATAATATTATATATATTTAGTTATTTGAAAATTATATTCACATTAAGTTTACTATAAAGGACTCAATAAAGCTATAATGTAGACTTAAGTGGCCACGCAAAATTGTTCTACGACCTTTTTAATTTATTTCTACGCATATTTAAAAAATAAACTTTATAAAATAAATTTGAAAAAAGGAGTTACTTTGACTAACAATTTTTAGTAACTTATTTTAATATAAATATATTTTAAATTATACTAATAGAATGTTTACTTTAAATTATGCTAACAGAAATTAACTCGCCTTTTGGCATGAAGATTTCGTTGAATAATAAATTTTGTGTTGTTTGCAGCTCCAAATTTTTCCATCCATTCCTCTGCTGCTTTGTCCGAACTAACACTAATTCTTATCTCAAGAAAGTTTTCACTCTGTAGAACAACCTCAGTTATATAGTCGTCTGGATAAATAAAATTCATCGTTGTAAATATTACTGTTACTAAAGTTTAGAATAATATATCAATGAAATTTTTTTATTAACTTCTAGTTGATATTTTTTAAAAAGAGTATCTATACACAAACCTTAAAAAACTTTATTTAATTTATAAACTGCATTTATAAAGAGCACACGTTGTCATATTTGCGACGTTTTACGGAGGTTTTTTACGACACTTATCCACAGCCAATATTATAGGGTGTCTGTCAATATTTTGAGGTGGCCTTCCGTTATTTTTTTCTGATACACTTGGGGTTGTTTGCAAATTATACCACGCTAATTCAACAATATTAATAGAAGTAGTAGATAATTATTTCTCTCGCGCGAGACATATTGATGCCAAAGCATGATGAAGAGCCAGTTTTCCTGATTTCTCCCTGATTTTTTTAAAATCTAACCCTATTTCCCTGATTTTTTATGAAGTTATCTGACTTTCGTAATCTAGTGGATACCCTATACTAATAAAATTAAAAAAGATTAAATCACCCAAAATTGAAAAAAATACTGTCATTTAATAAGTTACAAAGTAAAAGTTTTTCGATTTTTGTGAAATTTCATCAGTAATGCTATGACGAATCTAAAAAAAATATCTAAATTCAAAAACTTAAACTTATAAAGTATTTTAGGTTACTATAGTTATTTAAGATAACTTGTATAGCAACAGTTGCTAAGTGGCGGTTTTCTAGAAGCACTTTTTGTAATTCGAACTAATATAATAAAACGGATATTTGTAGCCTAAAAGGTAATATATACAATATTGTTTTATTAAAAACTAGATTTTTTTATTTTAGTAAAATTTGAAAAATTTACTTTCGTGCTCACCGTTTCCCTAATCTTTTAAGATCTTATTGACAAAAATTTCTAAATAATTTACAATTTTAATATTTCATTTTTGCAAAATATAATATTTTAATATTTCATTTTTGCAAAGAATTTAAAAAAAAAATTTATCATATAATTATTTCATAAGATCTGAATTTATTGAGATAATAGTCGGAACTGCACCATGATTTTCACAAATTAGAGTTTCGAAAGTGAAGATTAACTAGTGTTGCTATTTGATAACAGAAAACAAAATTCTGACATTAATGAATGTCAAATAGTAGTAGTAATAGCCACCATAAAAGCAAATAAACAACTCTTGAAGTTAACTGATAGATGTCACTGTTTTTGGTTGCAATCGCATACAAGTAGCAAAGGATACAATTATAATTGATTATATATCATGATATGAATAATAGTCGCAATTCTATTTTTATTGAAATGTTATAACTGATAGTTGGTATCTGAAAACAAAAATAATACTTAAATCGTATAGTCAATATAATATAATACCATATCCTATATTAATTAAATATATTGTGAGATTTTTAACATCAACGATATTTAAAAATAGTAAATATTACGCATGTAAATTAAACACATAACAAAACTCAAAAATTATAATGAAAGAGTGACAACAAAAAGAGTATTTTAAAAGGGTATTTAAAAATATGAATAATATTAACAATTATGACAAATATGAATAATATTAACACTTCCACACATTGTACAAACTCCAAACTTAAGTATGTTTAAACCTATGCCATTTGAATAGACTTTCAAAAAAGTTTGTTTTCAAAAATTTCCAAAAAAAAGCGGTAGACCGGGAACAAAAAAGCCCTTAAATGCTTGCATCCCCTCTCCTGCCCAAACGTGAGGGCACTAATGTAGTAACATTTTCTGACCCCTTCCCCAAAATAAATAAATAAATGAGGGGCTGTACATTTTACATCGACATTTGACATTGACTTTTGTAATTGTCAATATTTTTCAACGAAATTTAAATTGTTGATAAATTTGAATTTAATTTTAGATCGTTACATTTGGCGCACGTACTTTATAGACGACCCCTTATGCCTCAGAATTCATTCATTTTACGTCACTTGCAGTCCATATTAAAAAATAACTGCAAAAACTTTAGTTAAAAATACAAATGGGTTCCAGAAATTTCGTCAGTTAAAATAATGCTGACTCAATATTTTAGTGTTTATCTGAAGAGACTACAAAGCTTTGATAAATGTTGTATCTTTATAATGGCTTGGGAAAACTTCCTAAAATTTGGTACCCCAATAGATTTTACTTGCAGAATCCAAAAAGAGCACCCTCACGACTTGATTTTATCAGGAATCGTTTATCCAATTTTGGCCAAAGTTAACTTAAAAATTCATGATTTTTTGAGGTAAAATGAAGGCTGGCCCAAAATCAAGAATAAAAAGTTTAATTGATATCATTATTTTATCTACTAGAAAAATTAGATTCATCAATTGTCACTCTAATACTTGATCAAAACTTGAGTTTAAAAATTTTGCATTTTTTGGAAAAAATTACATTTTGTAACGAAAAGCAAATTGAAATGTTTTTTAAAACATTAATTTGAATAAAACATCAAATAGTGTTATTTATTAAATAAACATCCTAAACTAGTATATTTATATACTAGTTTAGGATGTTTATTGTCATAGGCCAAGAGAGGGCTAGGGGGCCTCTGACCAACTGTTTATATTCTCTATATCTAAATCAGATGTTGTACAAACGACCTGATATTGTTGTAGGTGTAGAAATTAGGCTTCAGAATTGAGCATCCAACACTAATCATTTTTCAACCCTTATCATTCAATTGTAAAAAGTGACTTTTTCTCCAGCGATAACTTTGAACCTCATCCTGAACAACAAACAGTGCGGCAGATCATCCATTTTTGTGCCAAAATTATTTTTTTTATTAAATATTACTAAATTAGCTTTAAATAACATATTTGGAGCTTCTAAATATATTTTTGATTAAAAGACATATTTTTAAAATTTTCTAAAGTTTCATAGTATAATTTCTCAGCGTTTGAAAAATATGACTATATAAAATTTGGGGGGATTTAAACTTTATATGGTCATATTTTTTGAAAGCTAAAATATTTTACTATGTAGTTTAAAATTTATTGATGAATATAAGTCTAGTTGAAAATAGCTCAAA